GGAAGAGATAATAGAAGATAAAGAGCTCATAAAGGAAGAAATACTCAGCTTCTATCAGAGCCTCTATACAGAGGAAGAAAACTAGAGACCTACAACGTCCTTTGAAGGGATGGGACGCCTAACAACTGAAGAAAAAGATGGTTTGGAAGCAACTTTGGTGAGGAAGAAGTGCTAAGTGCAGTCACATCTTGTGCCCCCGATAAAGACCCTGGACCGGATGGCTTTACCGTGGCCTTTTATCATAAGAATTGGGATACAATTAAGAATAACGTACTTGGAGCTCTCAATCACTTCCATCACAATTGTCATATGGTGAAGTCTTTTAATGCAGCTTTCATTGCCCTTATACTAAAAAGAAAACGAGCTATGGCGCTAACCAACTACAGACCCATTAGTCTAATAGGTAGCTTCTATAAACTCACACCTAAGGTGCTGGCTGAAAGACTTAAAAAGGTGATTGGAAAGCTGGTGTCAAAATATCAAAATGCTTTTATTAAAGGCAGGCAAATCACATATGCTACACTCATTGCTAATGAAATTTTGGACTAGCAGCGGGCCTCCTTTTTAAGCTTGATGTAGAAAAAGCTTTTTGACAAAATAAATTGGGCATTCCTAATCTCAATTCTCAGAAAGATGGGGTTCGGGGAAAAATGGATCAGATGGATAAGATACAGCATGCCTACTGTGAAATATTCCATCCTTCTTAATAGTGGTCCTGTGGGATTCTTTTCTCCCACAAGAGGGATCAGACAAGGGGATCTTCTCTCTCCATTTCTCTTCATCCTTGCTATGGAGGGTCTCAGTTGCATGCTCGAGAAAGCCAAACAGAGACAATGGTTGGAGGGTTTCAAGGTTGGAACCAACAGTGAGACTCAGGTGTCCTTCTCAAACCTATTATTTGCAGATGACACTCATTTTTTGTGGTGCTGAAAATATCACAAGCTCTTTACCTTAACCTCACCATCATGATTTTTGAAGCATCATCGGGCCTTCATATTAACATGTTGAAGAGTGTTATTTATCCTGTTAATGTGGTGCCAAATTTGGTAGAGCTGGCCGATATTATGGGGTACACTATTGGCAATTTCCCAACAACTTATTTGGGACTACCTTTGGAGGTAAAACACAAAGCAACTGAAATATGGAATGGGGTTATTGAGAAATTTGAGAAAAGACTGGCTACATGGCAAAAGCAGTATCTTTCTCTAGGAGGAAGATTGACTCTAATAAGCAGTGTCTTGGATAGCATCCCAACATATTTTATGTATCTCTTTCAAATCCCCGACAAAGTCTTGAAGCGTCTAAACAACATCAGGAGACTTTTTGTGCGAAGGAAACAGTGAATCTCACAAGTTACACCTTGTGATGTGGCAAAAAGACACTCTTTCCAAACATCTTGGTCGCCTTGGTATCAAAGATCTTGCTATTCATAGCAAGTTTATGCTTATGAAGTGGCATTCGAGGTTCACTCAGGAGGAGGATGCTGGTCTCTGGAAAAAGGTAATTGTGGCTAAGCATGGCAGCAACACCCAATGGTGTACAAAACAATTCACACTTCCCTACAGAACTGGATTACGGAAGGCCATTAATACCTTGTGGGATGCTTTTCTCAAACAAACTCACTTTGAGGCAGGGAATGGGAACCATATCAGATTCTGGTTAGACAAATGGACAGGAGACTACACTTTGAAAGAAGCCTTCCCAAATATATTTAACATTGCCAGACATCCTAATTATTGTATTGCTCAGTATAGGGATGGCAATTCTTGGAACCTGAACCTAAGAAGAAATTTGCAAGATTGGGAATTTGAAGAGTTATTGAATCTGCTCAAAAGCTTAGAGAACAGCAACATTAACATTCAGAGCAGTGATAAGTTAAAATGGAACTTCAACAAGAAAGGTTTATATACAAAGTCAAGGCAGGATATCAAAAATAGAGCTCCAATAAGATGATGATTGATCTATGGCCCTGGAAGTTAGTCTGGAAGACTAAAAATCCCCCCTAAAGTCTCGTGTTTTACTTGGACAGCCTTACAAGAAGCATGCCTCACTCAAAATTTCAACTGGTCAATAGGTGTTACATGTGTCAGTCAACTTCAGAAAGCATCAACCACCTTATGCTTCACTGCCCTTTTTGCAACACACTTTTGGCACATGTTCCTAGCGCTTTTTGGTATAAGTTGGTCCATGCCCTTCAATATCAGAGATGCCTACACTAGTTGGAGCTCTATGGAAGTTAGAAAATCCATCAGGAAAATCTGGATCATGACCCCAGATTGTATTTTTTGGGTTATTTGGAATGAAAGAAACAGGAGATATTTCGATGGAGTTTTAACTCCAAATTGTAAGCTTAAGGCTAGTTGTTTGGTTAACCTTTTTAGTTGGGCCAACTTTTCCCCTGTAAATAACTTAGATCACTACCTGGATTTTGTCAGCTCCTTAGCTCGATAGGTTTTTTCTGTTCTTACTGAGCTGACAGATCCCCCCTTTTGTATCATTGCATCTACTGGATGCCTTGATGAAATCTCACTTCATCAAAAAAAAGAAGGGTTTTTTCTGCTAAAAATGATATTTTAAGGATATAGTCTAAATTTAGAGTATACTTTAAGAAAGATTTTGGCCAAAAACTTTTTACGAATATGTAGTAGAATTCTTAACACATATGCAAGGTCTAGACAAATGCTATTGGGTTCCTCATACCGCATTGTGGATCTACCCATTAGGTCCAATATTTACTAGAAGTTTTTTTAATATTGTAAAAGATTTTTATGCGATTTCAGTACTAGAGAAACTAATTATAATGTTGGACTGACAGATTTAGATGGAGAAACATGGACTGCGAGGATACAGAACCAATCCTAATGTAGTTGTGTACTTGAAATAAAATCGGCAAGGAGAGTGGAACGAGGTTGGCATGGGGGACAGAACCAAAGGTGAAAACTGCTGGGATTGGGTGGTTACTTTTAACTGGTAGATAAAAATAATTAATGAGGTTAGATATAAAAATAAAATAAAAAAGGCAGCAAAAGGAAAGAGAAATATCAAGGAAGCAAGCATCAACATGCCCTAGAAACTCTAAGTCTACTATCAAGTCAAATAAAACAAAAAAACAAGAGAAAGAAAGTAAGTCAAGGTACTTCTAACCGCTCCGTAACCAATGATCAGGCGAGGCCGAAATTATTTAGTTCGGATTTTATGGTCAAAAAGAAGAATATTCCTTGCTCATTATCAGACAATCACTTATTCACAAACTTCGTGTGGGGAAAATAGTTTTCATTTTCCATCTCCTGGAAAACCCTTTTCACTCCGCTTAGCCTTATCCCCCTCTAGGGGTATTTTAGTGATAGGTTCTATAGGAACTGGACGATCCTATTTGGTCAAATACCTAGCGACAAACTCCTATGTTCCTTTCATTACGGTATTTCTGAACAAGTTCCTGGATAACAAGTCTAAAGGTTTTCTTCTTGATGAGATCGATATTGATGATAGTGACGATATTGATGATAGTGACAATCTTGGCATTAAACCACTATCTATGCATGTATTTTCAGCCTGGACTAACGAATCTTTTGCTTCTCGGGTGGTGTCGAACAATGGTGCTTGCGTTGCGGGAGATGCCCACCCGTAGGGTCCGGCCTGCTTCCCGCCCGAAAGAACCGCTCACTAGCTAGCCGGACTAGTGGGGGCCCTATCTGGAGACATACTGAAAACCATGCCTTTCGAACCGAACACAATGCCCGTCTTCCAAATAAAAAAAGGGCTCGTTGGGAAGAAAGATTACGTGCAGCCTGTAGAGCACATGTAAGGCACAGTCGGGTTGCTCCGAAGAAAGACTGTTGGCAGCAGGTAGAGAGATTTTTTTTTCCTCTTCAAAACACAAGGAAATGCGGGCAGGGTAGAGCTCGGCAAAGGGTTCGAGAATAGGGTAGGGTCCTGTCCTCCTTTTTGGAACTGCCTTTGATCTTAGGCTCGCAACTACTATAAAAGTAATTGTCGGGGTTTTCTCAATCGGAGAAGCCTAAATCTGTGTCAGAGATTTCCTTTTTCCGGAATGAGCTTCTACATAGGTCCTTCCATAAAGGGGCTACTTCAATTCAAGCGCAAGCCCCCCCTTCTATTGCATAACTTAAAAAAGCTATAAACAAAGTACCAAAGTGGTTGCGGGAACGATACACTTTGGTTACCGGCGAAGGCTTCCAAAGGCGACCAGCTTTCCATACTAGTTGTTACCTTACACTGCCATTTTTCCAATATTATTGAATAGCATGGCCTGGGGCTAAGATAACTCAAGTGGGAGAGCCGTGTTATGGGTGACCTTATTGCACGGTTCTTTGAGCCCTTATCAATTTCATGGTTCATTCCAGTCTTTAGTATGTCAAGGCATTCGGGAAGCAGGAGATCGATCCACTCTTTCCATCTCTCTTGCCGGCTATTTTTCGGATCTGATTGTAACAATGGAGAAGTAGGAAGACTTTGGCGATTCATAATAGAAGGGGGTATCTAGAATATCTATGTCCCAGGACGGACATAAAAGATGAATAATGAAAGATGAGGAAGAGTATACTCTGTAGTGAGATAGCAGACATGATTCCTGATTATTCAGACCTTGCTCATCTATTACAGATACAGGACTGAAATCACAAAAGGACTGTCTCTTGCTTAGTACTAACACTTTAAAGTTGTTCACAATTGGCGCTAAAAAAATTAGTCTGATTATGAGACCCAGGAAGAACTTCCAAGATACAATTATCAGATTCCAATGATAAAAAATTCAAGGGGAGACATCTATATATGGGACTAAACTTTACCATCACGGTAAGGTCCCAGAGACTCAAAGTGCTCTTCATGATTCAAAAGTGTCGTTGAGCAATTGTTAACTGTAGCAACTAATACAGAGGAGGGCATTGCAATCTTTAACAACATTTAGAGCATATAAAGTATAAAACTACGCATTATGAGGAGCTAACATGAGAATGTCAAACATATTAAGGACAACTCACGTCGGTGATGCGGATAGATCTGCTCATTGATGGCTTAAATTGAATTGTTTTCGCCATAGAAGGTGATCCAATCACAAAGCCATTATTTTGACTACCCTAAAAACAACAGGAAGAGAATATAATGACCATCAAATATAACATAAAAAGTATCATATAGTTAATCATGACTCAGCTAAACCTCAAAATACAGGAAATTATGCACTCAATCTCAGAGTAAATACCACAGTAGGGATGCATTTTTTAACAAACACCTGCCACATTTACAGAGATGTATTATTCTGCTTTTACAAGCTTCAGAAATACTCCTCTTTCTCCAAACTTACGTAACACGCTTTCTATTTTAGGATGTCTTATAATATATCTATCATTTAATAATTCAAGTTTAAGTCAAGGTGTTTCCACATCAAATTAACTTTTGAACTACTAATTTAATATTGTCTTTTAAGGTTTTTGCACGACTTTTAAGAAAGACATTTAATAGCGCCTCAATAATAAAAATATTTTTCAAAGCAACCTTTTATTTCTTCTTTTAAGGTTTTTTTTTTTAGTGGAAAAAATATGAACTTTGAGATCTATCTTATTAGCAACATCAGCTACATAAAACATTAAATATCTGGCAGTACAGCAATCTTCCATATCCGCGTCCACTCTATTCACGTGTCACTTTCCATCAACTCTTACTTATCCAATAAACCTCAATCAAATTTAATTTGAGCCAAGATTTCAACTTGAAAATTTTATTACTCTTATACTATAATTTCAATATTGCACAACAAAAATTATGAAGACTTAAACAAACATGGATACAAGATTTGAGTACCAAATTCCATCAATACAATTACATCTAAACATGCTTGTTGAACCTGACAATAATTATGTTGTTAGACAATAATTCTGTGTTGATCTCAATACTGAAACATTTAAATCTTAATTCAAACTCTCCAAGAGTTTAAAACATCTACAAATGTTGAAGATGTTCACTTTTCAGCTCTCCATTTTTAAGAAATAATTGGCATTATGTTTTTGAAATTAGTAGTAATGTATTCCTCAACATCAAGGTCATGTTGGAGACCTCCAAAATATTGTGAACCAAAACAATAACTAAGGCACTTACAAGGATCCTAAAAGATCTACTAACTGTTCAACTTACTCTACGCTTTCTTCTTTACACCAAAAATGAAAGATTATGATACAGTTCCATTTAATCTTTTGAATGGAACTGAAACTATCTTCAAAACATATATTGTTTCTCTCTCTCCAGTTTGTCCACCATATACTAGGTGGAATTATTTTCCACCACTGCTTTTGACTTTTGCTTCCTACTCTCCTGATCCAGCAGCTAAGATCTGTTTGTTGTATGTTCTAGCAGTATCCACTTAGTTTCTGTGAGGCTATGAAATAATGCCCAAATCTGTGAAGTAACTTTGCAATGTAGGAACAAATGGTTGTTAGTTTCCTCAGCCACATTGCACAGGATGCACCTAGATGCTATGTGGAAATCTCTCCTTTGTAATTTTTCCTGGGTAAGACATGCTTTTCTAACTATCAATCGAGTAAAACACTTCACCCTTGGTTGTAGCCATGTTTTTCTAGACCTGTTTCCACTTTCCATGGGCTTGTCTTACAACTTGATTGCTTTATCTCTTTCTTCCTGTACAGCTATTCACTGAAACTCTGTCTTCATTGTCATGCTTCCACCTTATTGTATCAGGCTCTGAAGTGATGCCATTAAATCCACTTAATTCTTGCAGCATCTCAACCACTCTCTCCACTTTCCAATCATTCATTTGTCTTCTAAAGGAGATGTTTCATCCTTGCGGAGATCATATGTCAACTATTGTTGCATCAGGATTGTTTTAAAAAGTGATTAGATCAGGATATGAGTTCATTAAGGTCTCATGTCCAATCCAGTTCTCTTTCCATAGAAGGATCTTGGTGTCATTCCCCACTTCATAATGTAAGCTCCTAGCAAGGTTGGACCAAATATTCCCAATTGTTCTCAACACTGCAATACCATAAATGCTAGATACTGTGTTAGTACACCATTGGTAATTCTGCCCATATTTGCGATAAATCACTTCCTTCCACAATGCATGATCCTCCCTGGAAAATCTGCAGAGCCACTTCATCAGCAAGCAATCGTTTTGCACCTTCAAATTCCTGATTCCAAGACCACCAGAATGCCTGCTCAACTAAGTAGTGTGCCAGTTAGCCAAATGTATTCCTTTGCCCTCTTTATTTTCCATCCACAAAATTTCTCCTCAACTTATCCAACCTCTTCTCCACCTTGGAGGGAATGGGGAATAATGACATTACATAAATTGGTAGTGGATCGAAAATTGAATTTATCAGAATAATTCTTCCTCCTAGAGAAAGGTATTGAGTTTTCCACTTTAATAGCTTCTTTTCCGTTTTTTCTACTATTCAAATCACAAATTTCCAACTCTTTCTGTTGGTTGCCTAAAGGCATGCCTAGATACACTACCGGGAATTGGTCTATTCTACATCCCAATATGATAGCCAGACTCTGCATATGTGATACTACTTTGATAGGAAATATACTGTTCTTCCTCCAATTTACACACAGAGAAGAAGTACCCTCAAAGATCACCAAAATCATTCTCATAAAGATAAGTTGTTTTGCATTAGCTTCATAGAAAATAACAGTAGCATCTGCATAAAGCAGATGGAATATATTCATCTCCTGTCCTTAATTATTGCCTAACTTGAACCCTTTTAGCCACTTGAAACCCTCCATGGTTAGCATGGAGAGGAAAGGTGAAAGAGGATTTCCCTGTATGAGACCTTACTAAGTCAAGAAAAGGACTTAGTTTTCATTCTCATAAAGCTAAGTTGTTCTGCCTTAGCTTCATAGAAATAACAGTACAATCTGAATAAAGCAGATGGCATGTGCATCTCCTGTCCTCAATTGTTGCCTAACTTGAACCCTTTCAGCACTAGCCACTCTCATCATATTGTTGAAACCCTCCATGGTTAGCATGGAGAGGAAAGGTGAAAGAGGATCTCCTTGTATGAGACCTTACTAAGTCAAGAAAAGGCTTCCTTACTTTCAATTCATAGTAGTCTTAATGACTAGTACTTTGAACCCTTAAGAAAGTAGGTGGGGCGGGGGGTTCGGCACTTGCTTCCTTCGTCTTAAGTAAAGTGCAATTTATTTACCTTTTTGATTCAGAACTCTTAGTCAAGCTGGAGAGATAGATTTTTTTTATTCAGGTTTCATAGGAAAGAGAGGAGCCACCACCCAATGGTACTTTACGAAAGTATGGTCACCGGGGCAAGTAATTTATTTACTTTTTTTATTCAGAACTCTTAGTTAAGCTGGAGAGATAGATTTTTTTTATTCAGGTTCCATAGGAAAGAGAGGAGCGACCACCCAATGGTACTTTACGAAAGTATGGTCACCGGGGCATATACCTTCTCGAGACTATCAAAACGGATTCGTATCACATAGGGGCCATTTGGGGGAAGGGCCCTTTACCAAGGATTCTCCATTCTCATGGCTCAAGAACCTAACAATCTGGATGCAAAATACAATCTTCTTCAACCACCTCTCACCAAAACCCATTTGATTAAGAATATTGCAAAGGACTCCTAGTTGACATGGTCATAAGCCTTCTCAACATCTACTTTATGCCTAGTACCTCGAACTTCACCTTTGAGCCTAGAATCCAAAATTTCATTGGCTATTAGTGCAGTATACATGATTTGTCTCCCTTTAATGAAGGAATTAGATGCTTGTTTAGCAACTTGCTTCCTTCATCATAAGTAAGGTGCAATTTACTTTTTTGATTCAGAACTCTTAGTCGAGCTGGTGGGACTGATTTTTTGTTTGTGGTTCCATTGGAAGGAGAGGAACCATTGCCCAATGGTATGTTTACGGAAAATAAGGTTGTTGGTGGCTAATACCTTCTTGACACTATTAAAACAGATTTGTGTCACGTAGGGCTATTTTGGGGGAAGCGTTCTTTACTAAGGATTCTCCATTCTCATGGCTCGAGAACCTAACAGTCTTGATGCAAAATACAACCTACTTCAACCACCTCTCAATAAAACCCATTTGTTTAAGAATATTGAAAAGGAACTCCTAGTTGAAGTGGTCATAAGTCTTCTCAACATCTACTTAATGCTTAGTACCTGGATCTTCACCTTTGAGCCTAGAGTCCAAAATGTCATTGGCTATTAAGTGCAGTATCCATGATTTGTCTCCGTTCAATGAAGAATAATAGATGCTTGTTTAGCAACTCGCTCACCTCCCTCTTCAGCCTCTCTTCTAGGAGCTTAGCAATGATTTTATAATTTATAGATCTGAAATCTCTTGAGTTCAGAGACCCTGTTTTCTTGGGAATAAAAGCAATATATGAAACTCTTCTCAAACAATTGACAAGAATGGAAGCAACATATGAAGTTCTATTTAAGAAAAGAATTGGAGAACTAAATATCAATATCCAGATATCTCTAAAATTTGAAGAGTTTGAATTAAGATTGGTGTCATGAATTATATTGGCATAGATATTCTGATCAAGCACTTGATATCCTTCCTGATCATCTGTTGCTAGTCTCCAAAGCCACTTTAATAGAGGGCTCTTCTTGTGGGCTTTCAAATTCTTAATTGTCAAACCTCCTTGTTTTTTGTTTGGTTATAATAGCATCCCACTTAACCAAATGAAATTTCTTTTCCCTTTCTCCATTACCTTGCCATAGAAAATTTCTTCTCATAGGATCTAGCTTTTTAATGATTTTCCTAGGCATAGGAAAGAGGGGCATCATATAGGTTGGCATGGCCTCAAGAACACTATTGATCAATGTGACTCTACAACCCAAGGATAAGTATTCACTTCTCCAATACCAACTTATTTTAACATATTTCAACCACAGAGTTCCAAATGCTCAAGGATTTACTCTTAGCTCCCAAAGGCATGCCAAGATAGGTCCTAAATGTTTGACAATGAAGTGTATATCCCAGTTCGGCAATTCATAACCTCCTCTTGCAAACATTTAGAATGATTTCTTTTAATAAAATGTTGTTATTTTTGTATAATGCCCCAAAATTATACCCATTTTCCGAGGTTGAAAAGTTTTGCTCATCGAACACATTTAACTTATATTCAAATAACCTTTATAAGTTTGATAACAACAATTATCCAATCATTTAGCAACATTCAATTCCAAATATTTGCGCAGTATGTTATAGTAATACTTCGAGAAAAACAAAAAGTAAAGTTGACCTCTTCCTCCATTCTATATAAAAGCCATACATGCAATTATCGTCATCGAGCTAATTATGTCAAATCAAACTAAAATATTCAATGACGATTCAGGAAATGAAGATTATTATTAGCATTATGTACCCATTATTAAATAGCCCCAAAACAAAACCATATATTTTTTGATGAAAAAGGTAAGAGGATAAAAATCAAAACATATATCTGATAACAGGTAAAGCCCGAAGGCTGTTCCCGTCCCTGTCGGGGGAGATGCCAACCATCTCTCCTTTCTACGAACACAAAAAAAAAAAAAAAAAAAAAAAAATCAAAACATATATCTTTAGCTATGAACTCATTATGCATATGAGCAAACATTTTTCTTCACTTCATCTTTATTTTCCTTTAGTCAAGCATATCTAGGTCAGTGATTCCTCCCGTCTACTCACCCCATGTCAGCATCCCAATTATATCATGCTTTTAATAAGATTCCACATCCATTATGTTCAATACACTTTTTAAATTTTTTCAGCCAAATGAGTTGAAGGAAATGCCATGGAGTGTTCAAATACTTCTAAAACAGATCATATTCAATGTCCACATCACTTGCTCAAACAATCCAAAGGAACTAAAACATGACAAATTCAATTATATATAAAAGGATAACAGAAAAAGAGGAAGGAAAGTGCTAAAGTGGAGCTGCATACCCTGCAAAAATACGTTTCGTCTTTACCATCTTCAAACAAGGAGGAATAATATGCAGGATCGTATACAGAACCACCTAGAGCATCATCAGAATTGGATGGCTGTCTAGTTAGAGGAGTTGCAGGATTGAGAAAACTGTTTCTCATATCACTATCTGCCTCTCGGGGAACTGAACAGTCTATATACGAAACACCGAGCTTATACATTTGAATCCACAATAGTGAAGATGATAATCTCACACAAAATCCAATAATTTGCATGGAGAGAGTGAGTTTCACCGAGAAGATAACAAAGGTTCCATAATTCCCAGAAGAAATATTCCTGCATGAATAACTGAAGTTCAGGAAGAAAGATTTTACTTTTTCTAACATTTCAAGAGCTGTGGTAAATTTACTGTACAAGGATGTTTGAGAACACAATGCATGAGTGAAGGCTGGCTCTACCTGCAATCTTAGACAGTGATGCAGCAGCCGGTGATGCTACTAAGTCAAACTAAAAATATCCATGAAGTGACCAATAGAACAGCTTACAGTAAACAAATAAGTTGAGCTAAACCAAATTTTTAGGATTGAGAATTACTTGTGGTCAAAGGAGTAAAAAGAACTAAAGCTAAAAGTTAATTAGTTCATTGATAATTAGCTCGCACACCAATTTATTAGCCTATTACTTGAAAAGTAATAATGTGGGGAAACAAGAGCTCATACTACTTCAATAGCATTTGATAGTGTTATATAATAAATAAGAAAGAAATGAATTTGGAGATCACATTGGTCCTTAAAACGTAAAAGAGGAGGCATCACCAGAAACCTCCTTTACAAAGCATAGTAGACCGTCTAGATTTAAAAAAAGCTCGTGTAATACCCGCAACTTCTAAGCAAAGGTTCAAACCATCGTCCATATGCGTATAGACTCGAACCCTATGATTTCTAAGTTGTACATATATGTTAAGGTCCTTTACTAAGTGTAGTAAGTGTATCGGATGTGGTTTAGGGTCGTAAGGTACCTCAAACACTAAGCCAAGTTCAAAGCATTTCTATTAGCTAAATTAGAGCATGAATTTAGATAAGGGTCAACTTCAAACAACCATATCTCTAAGGTTATGAAGAGTTAGGTGACCCATGATCTATCAAATTAAAGGATTGTGAGTCTTCTTTCCAACGCCCCCCACCATTCGTCAATCGAAGTTCGAAGTAAAAAGTTATGCATGATTTACCAGAGACTCTCCAACCTAGCTAATGGATCGAGCCCAACTTCGCGACCAAGTCCGTGTCACGAATGGGAAGTGGACCTCACTATCCACTTGAACAAAATTTCATCTTCCAGCTCCATGACACAGAGCCAACTCAGAGCTGGGCCAAAATTCATCGATTTTTGTTTTTCTTTATTAGGGTGTTTTCATCTTAAAACCTTTGGGGAATTATCTAAATAGCCTTAAACGTGTGGACTTTTAGTTTTTTTTCATTATTAAACTCTCTTATTCACTCTTAAATCTCTACGCTCAACAACTTCAAGAAACACCAAGGCTAGGGTCCATCTTCCAAGATTCTCCATCAAGCTTCGTCACTAAGGTATTAGGACTACAATGAGGAATTTGTTTCATCCTCATGTCCAAAACTCATAAGCTTTTATGAACTTGATTCCATAATTAGGGTTATCAAGCCCACATTCAAATTCATTATATTTATGACCTGAATTACATGTAGGACTTCAATGAGGAATTTTTTTCATCCTCATGTCCAAAACTCCTATGTTTTTATGAACTTGATTCCATAGTTAGGGTTGTCAAATCCACATTCAAATTCATCATATTCATGACCAGAACTGCGTGATTTCTTGAACTTTTTATTCATGATAATGGATTATTGACAAATGCACTTCTTTTATATACTTAAAAAGGTTTTCCATTGTCATCCTTGTTAGTTCTTGGCATGTTATTGTTTATGATTCATGAACCTTGTATTTCAAAACATGATTTTAGAGTCTTTATGTTATTATGAAAGCTATTTTGAGAAATTACAAGATATGCATGTTCTAGAAATTTTCTCATGATTTAGGTTGTGAACATGATTTGAAATATATGTTTTAGAAGAGATTTCAGTATATGATTTTAGAAAACAAGATTTGAGCATAGTGTCATAGCGAGATATGTTTTAGAAAGAGATTTTGAGCAAGACTCATGATAAGCTTCTAGATAAGCTTAACAGATATTTTTACGAGTTATATGGATAGTATATTTTGGGAGTAGTATTTAGCACCAAGCGAATGAGGGTTCTAGATAGCCCAAGTTCTAGAACTATGTGCCACCACAGAACTATGTTTGACCACTTTGTCAATCGACTATTTGGCCCTGAGAAGCTCAAGTTAGTAGATCCCTCTTTGGGTTTTGCCTTTATGTAACTGATGTTACCTCTGCAAGAAACAGGAAGAGAATGGAATCCACTCATTCTTTCACTACTGAGTTGCCAGACAGCTTTGGGATTTGTTCCTTAATTTCTTTGGTTTAAAATGGGTCATGCCAAGCTCAATGAAGGATTTACTACTACATTTGGGTATTGAAGGAAGAAACAACCAGATAAAAGATATCTGGAGAAATATCCGGTTGGTGTGTTTTGGGTACTGTGGAGAGACAAGAAGTCTAGGTGCTTTGAGGGCAAAGCAAACACTGTACATGAAATGAAATATAGGTGTCTGTGAATGCTAACTTTTTGGTGTAAACTCCAGGATGTTTACGAAATACAGAAAATGATTAGATTTCATTAACTCCTTCAGGAATAGGATCTTTTGTATAGAGGTTTCCCCTTCATTATTAGTTTTGCATAGGGGACTGCCCAACCTTGTACATTCCAATCACCTTCCTGGTGTCTAATTTTTAATATATCTATAAAATTTCTAGATTACTGGCATAAAAAGGAATACCAAGCCACGGGATTCAACGTTTGTGCTTTGTAATCCTTTTGTATTCACAAACACTCTTTTTGAAATTGGAACTGACTTTTTTAAATTGAGCACAAAAGCACTCTTTATGATAAAATTCTTATCTAGGATCAGAAGATATCGCCTTTTTGAATAGTGAATAACCATTCTAAGCTACAGTTCATTCGATCAAGAGAGAAATTTACTGAAATAATGTTCCACCTTGAATGGTGTAAGGCAATTATAATCTTCAATATAAATCCTCAGGGAGCTAGACAAATCTCGGAACTCTATAACTCTTTTCCATTTCTTTTCACTAGTCGACACCCACTATCAGTTCCTTGTCCGTTAAATCATTCTTTGGCGCTTGAATTGAATAGTCTTTAAACCAAAGCTCTGTTTCATATTCTTTTTTTCAGACAAAAATTTCAGGTCAGTCCAAATTAAAATTGTCCACCATTAATTTCGGTACCAAAGCACAAGTTCAACCCTGGTGTGAGAAATGAAAGAACAAGTAACAGTTGGAGCATCTCTGTAGAGCCTTACATCTCTGTCCATCGTTAATTTCGGTATCAATTATTTGTCTCTTACATAGCTCCAATCTTTCACTTAAACACCAATGCATTTACTTGTGGGAACTCTTAAAAACTTCACCATTCCTCCACATTAGTTAGTATCATACTTTTTCATTGTAGATCCTCATGAATTTTAAATTTCATGTTGGCATATGCATGAACTGAAGCTTTGTAGTGAATCTACAACTATAACTAAGAACATAAAAATGTACGGTCTTTTTTGTTACTCAAACATGGTGGTTTCAATGCCAAATAAATTCCTAAAAAATTTATGTTTAAAGGGAACTATAAATTAAAGCTAGAGATAACAATTTACATATCAATTTGACCTGAACCATATGCCACTCACTCCATTTCTAATGCACATTCTTGTCCAATATCTTATTCAACGACCAACTGTCCACACAAATAGTCAACTCTAACAATTTGCATCTTCAGAAAATACTTAATTCGTAAGGCAAAATAAAGTTTGGATAGATGACATTATTTTGATGAGATAGGAAATACATATATCAACTAGGAGGTACTACATAATTTATTGAAATAAAACTTATTAAAGAATGGATTCTCAAAAGTCGAATTAGATGTTGTTCTTTTAAAAAAAAAAAAAAAATCTCAAAATAATGGATCATATGATTATCAAGACACTATGGACCCCTAAAACATTCCTTGCATTCTTAAAGGTTTCACTTCTCTGGTCTTCAAAAATGTTTATATCAAACTTCTAGAGATATTTAACAAGCAGAAGCAGATGGTCACATAATTGTTAGTGAATTATGTTTAACCACAAAAGAAATTCAAGTGAAATTCCATACAATTCTGCATTCAGTTCAAGATTCATTATTCTATTTGATATTCCCAGTGAAACTTTCCCAGTGATCTCTAGATTACCATTCTGAAAAATTGAGTAAATGAGAAGAGTATGAAATGAAACTTACCAGATTTCGGATGCAAAAAGGATGAACCAAGAAATGTCCACTAAGATTGCACAGAAGAGAAGTACGGCGTATGTTCTACCAAGACTCTGACTGCTACTCTCAATAGCCACCAATGCGAATAACCCAATACCCAAATTGATTAAGGAAACGCCGTTGTATAATGCCCCAAGAGATCCAATCAGTGCACAACCAATCTTGAGGAATCAAAATAGAAAGATGGCATAAAATTAATCACCAATTTATTTACCCAAAAACAACAAGTCAGAAAATACCTGAACATAGATGAGAATAACTGCAAAGGATTGAATCCTGTCATAATCACGTAGCCACGTTTGTATGTGAGTCGTAAATGCAGAACAAAGCATCATATACAAGAAGAAATTCCACTGGACACTTATAACTGAGAAGAAAAACCAGTAGGAGAAGATGGGGAAAGGATGATCGTCGCCCGCGAGGGGTTCTACATTGAAAGGCCCGAAAAACCGTTCGATTTCGCTTCTCAACAACGGAACAAAGCGACGACGACACTTCCTCTTTTTGAACAATCTTGCCTTTGCTACTGCATTTAAGGCAGCCCTGGGCAAGGAAAGCCGATTTCTGGGATGTGTTCCTTTCCTTTCCTTCTTCAATAAATTCTCTAGTTTTGCGCTATTGATTTAGCAGGCGTTTGGCCATGCGATATCATATCACGATATGATGTCGTGAGATGAAATCAGCGTTTGGACATGCGATTTTATGCTGATTTCATCTCACGATTTCATATCATGAGAGGTGATATCATATTCTCCAAAAACCATGATATGGAATCACCATGTGATTTCATATCATGATTTGAGATATTTTAATACAATAATTGATCCATGAGTTTATATTTTGTTAAAACAACCCCACATTTATATCTACTAACCATTTGTTTCATATATAAATAAAATTTATAATGACATCATTACTTTTTAAAATTTATTATTCTCACCAATATAAAATTTATTATCACTTTAAATTTGGTAAATATAAATGATAAAGTAGAAATTCATTTGGTGAATATAAATGAGAACAAAGGGAGTAATACTTTTTTTTATTTTTCATAATAAAAAAAAACGTCTTAATCTTATGACTAAGCATAATATTGATAAAAGACAATTTTCATTGGCGATGCCGCACTTTCTTAATCTTAGTATTTGCAAAATGTTCGTTCACATGATTGAAGGATATCAAGTCCAATTGATTGAGGACTTAGGAAAATTTGATCAATTAGTTATTAATATTTAGTCAAGTGGACTAGTTATAATTTTTTTGATTAAATTTTATTAGAAGTGTTTTTGACTCAAACTTGTGGTAACTTTTTAAAATTTCGTTATTCAATAATATTTAACTATTGATTTTTCTTGTAAATAGTTAAAAGTTAGTGATGTTTGTTAATTTTTATCTTAGTGCATTTAACTTCTAAGTTAATATTTACTCACTAATGTATGTTTTTTTTTCTACTTTATAGGTTATTTGTAAGAGTAGTTGAGAGATATGAACATATCAAGTACAATTTATGTTCAATTTTTTTAAATTAAATTAAAGTTAGATGAAACAATTATTTAACTGAAGAATAAATAACTTTGTAATCATTTATTATGCGATTTCATAATTTTTGTTTATTTGATAAGATTGAATAAACAATTGGGGTTATTTTAATAGTTTTACAACTTATGGGATTTTTATGTTTATGAGAAAATATACAACACAAAAATTTCATATCGCATGTCCAAACAAACCTTCAATTTCATCTCATGATTCCATATCATGATACCATATCATGATTTCATATCATGATATCATATCGCATGGCCAAACGGGCCCTTAATGATACGATGTACTCACTTGGCAATAGCATTTCTTTTTTTCTTCTTTTTGAGTAGAACCCCAAAATAGCCAAATAAATAAGAAAATTATCAATAAAGTGCAGTATGGTTATGAGATTAGTCCGAAACTCCTTTTTATTTTTATTTTTTATAATTAGTCCAAAACTAAAGAGATCGTTTGGTAGCTAAATAGGATCCAAGTTATTCATGTAGAAAATTAATACGGTGTTTGACTGACAATTTAGAAACTCACTATTTATTAATTTGTGCAAGATAGAAGGAGGAGTAATTGATACATGAATAACTAATATCTGCATAAAATAATACATAGACTTACTCATAACTAATACCTATATTATTAATATCATCATAACTCTAACCTGCTATCAAACGACCCCGAATAACTTTGGTTATTCATGTATTAATTTTAGAGGAAAGACATAGAGTGACACCTGAAGTTGTCCCGAATTGTCAAAAGGACACATTAACTATGCAGGCATCCTATTACTATAAAAGTATTAAATATCGTTGTAAAGAGACCATTTTAACCCATTTTCTCCCTATGTTTACATTCACGCAGATGATGCGCGTGGATGTGAATTTTTTTTTTCAAAAATGAATGAAAAGGCTCCACGTGTCATTTCATTCTCTATTATTTAATTACTTCTTTTTTAAATACTTCATCTTCCCCAATTCTTTCAAAAAGATCCATGGTTGAAGGCTTAAACTAAAAAAAAAATCATCTTCTCTCTTGAATGAAATCAACCCAAAAAGATACTAACTTTCTATCTTCTTGTTAATTTCCAGTCGTCAAGATTTAATATCTTTAAAAATTGAGAAATCAAGTTATCTTTTGTGATTAGATTTTGAGGAAAAATACTCTTATAATGTCAAATACAAATCTTGAATCATATTTGTAATGACGAGAATGATTTGACGTTGTGTGTGATGCGATGCGAACATGAAAACTTACTTTTAGTGCAAATTTAGTGGTCAAAGAAAAGAAAAAATATGTCTTTTCTCATTTTTAAAAGCTTCTATTTTTTTTTTAGAATTTCGTTCCATGAGATGGGTGAGTCTGGAGCATTATTTCATTATAAAAAAATGCCACAAATAGCAAAATCCCAACCCCCAAAACTTAAAGAAGCTCAACTCTTCATAACAATAGCGGAAAAAATGGACGATTCCGAAAAGCGAAAGCTTGATTTTAGCATCCGGAGGCAAATCGCCTCCCAAGAAATTGAAATCATCAATTGAAAAAGGTTATGAAGAAACCCATAAATTGAAAGCAGCGAAAACGTCCTTTACTGGCAAAGATGTGCCAATATTTTAGTTTTGGGTCTGCATTTTATTAATATTTAAATTAATTCATTAAAAGAGGGTGTGCATCACTCTCCTATTAGAATTCTTGGGTTGGTGAGAAAATGGGTCAAAAAGGTCTCTTTACAACAATATTTATTACTTTTGTGAGGTAATAGGACATCCGCATAATTAAGGTGTCGTTTTGAAAATTTGGGACAACTTCAGTGGTGACTTTACGTCTTTTCTCTTAAATTTATACCATGTTTGGTTTTCAAATAGGATTAAAGTTAGAGAAAAAACATAAAGTCGCCACTAAAGTTGTCCCAAATTTTTCAAAAGACACCTTATCTTTGTGGGCGTCCTATTACCCCCACAAAAGTATTATATACCTTTGTAAATAGACCATTTTGACCCATTTTCTCATCAATGAAGTCACACATTTTTAATTAAAATTAAATATTAATAAAGTTAGGACAATCCGACCCGAATCTTAAGAAAAACACTGAAGATTTCTTTCTTTTTCATTTTTCAGATTCTCTCTTCTTTTCAATTTGAAATCTGCTAGACATTAAAAAAAAAATCTTGGAGGACTACCTGAACAAAGGATTGAATATTTTTCTTTATGTATTTGTGACTTGTTGGAATAAACACACGTTTAGGGATTATTTTAGCGTAAAAAGTGTTAGAATCGACTTATTATAATTGGTAGTGTAAGGATTTTGTATGGTTATATACTTAATTGTTGTGTTATAGAGTAATGGTATTGTTAGGTTTCGTGTTATCGACTTAGTACTACTTTTATTGATTTTGTTGTAGAGTATTATTATACATTTGTAGGCTTTGTATTTGTACATTTGTAGTGTAATATTAATCTTTAGTGTACATATGTTAGGACTTTATTCGATTAGAATATATTAATTTGTTAGAGTTTGTTCCTGAATGTGTGGTTGAATTGTGTTTCTCTTGTTTACATGTTTTTTTTAAGAATCTTCCTATGATTTTTATTCTGATAACTTTATGCAACACCTCGAAATCTAGTAGTCTAAGTTGGGGCTAAGTGAGATATGATATCATGAGCCAAAGAAGTGAGCTTAGGCAACCTTCACGAGGACCCATATGGGTGGTGAAGGGCGCCACGAGTCGTGGTGCTGCCCATGGTAGCTCACAGTAGCTAAACAAGTTGTGCTCACCTCCAACAACCACCAAGTTGGCTCGTGGTGGGGACTATGGGTCATGGTGATGAGCGTGGTTGGCTAGGCAGTAGCTAGTCAAAACTGCCCAAAAATGAGACCCTTCACACAAGCCACTTGACGGCTCGTGAAGGCCACTACGGGATGTGGGAGGGGTCGTGGTCAAGAGTTGAGATTAATAGGTTAAGTGGTGGCAAGCCAAGCCACTGGTCAAGTACCACGGGCACCACTACGGGCCATGAAGTCCTTGACAGGCCGTGGTGCCCATCGTGAAGGTGAGTCGGTAGTTTTAGTTCAGGGGTTTTTGGGTCTTTTCCGATTTTAAGTGAATTAATACTATGTCGTTTTACCCAAGCCTAAGACCCTATATAAGTGATTGTAACCCCAAAACTCACCCATTCAAAGTCATTCTCTCAAACTCACCAAAAGAAATTGGGTTTTCCTCTCCAAATATATCTCTCTCTAGAACTTGAAGAAGAAGAAGAAAGAGTTGAAGCTGGGATCAAGGTCAAGTCTCCAATCGTCAAGCATTTGTGGTCTATGTTAGTAAGGTATGATGACATTTCATCCATGGAATCCTTGCATACATGGATCCCCTAAGATTCCCCAATTGAAAAGTAGAAATTTCCCAATTTGAGTAAGGGTTTTCTTCTAATGTTGTGGGTATTGATGAATGTTGATCCAAATGATTGGGTTATGGTTGTTTATGTGAATTGATAGGAATACATGTTTTAGGATGAATTTACATGTACCCATGCTCTTGTCCATTATCTTCGATTGGGGTACTCAGTTTACTTCTCAGTTTTGGAAATCCTTCCAAATAGGTCTTGGCACTAAAGTTAATCTTAGCACGACTTTTCATCCACAAATTGATGGGTAAGCAGAGTGAACTATCTAAACTTTGGAAGATATGTTGAGAGTGTGTGTCATCGAATTCAAGGGAAATTGGGATGATCACTTGCCATTGATTGAATTTGCTTATAATAATAGATATCACTCTAGTATTGGTATGGCTCCATTTGAGGCTCTTTATGGTAGGAGGTGTAGATCTCTTATAGGTTGGTTTGAGGTGGCTGAAGTTGCCTTAATAGGACTCGAGTTAGTTCATGAGGCTATGGAGAAAGTCCGACTTATTAGAGAGAGGTTGAGAACAACCCAAAGTCGACAAAAGTCATATGTCGATGTTAGAAGAAGAGATATTGAGTTTAATGTTCATGATTGGGTTAACTTGAAAATCTCAACCCTGAAGGGTATAATGAGGTTTGTTAAGAAAGGGAAGCTTAGTCCCCGTTATGTAG